CTTAAAATACAGCATTCTTTTAACAACTTGGCCGAGAAAACTCAAGAGTGCCAAGAGGAAAGAATGTGTAAGCCTCGTTATATTCACAAAAGATTATGGAAATAAGTTTAAGTCTAAATGAGTGAGTATAGCGATTATTCAACTTTGCCTTCCAACAAAAGGTTTCAATGGTTTTACAAGGTTTCTTAATTCCTCTCATCAAATTATGGGATGGAAGAATTCTTAGTTTCTTAAAATATAATTAAAGAGCACAAAACTTTCACATTTCATCCTCCCACTATCTCCAAATAATTTCTCATATTGTCCAAATACGTGCTTTACCACAAATTTTAACCAGAAGCCTCCCCAATTTGGCAAAGATTATAGCTCACTCAACATTCTACTTTGTATTTGCCTTCTCCCTACAGAGGGAGAAAAGCTAACAACTGGATCTCATAGCTTTCGTGGCACCTAGAGATGGCCAGGGAACAAAATTATGGTCAATGCCATCTCTGGAAAAAGGCATCCCTTCTGGGGGGGAAAAAAAAAAATGCAAAATACCAGTAGGAGAGAGCCCTTTTTCTTCCTTTCCTGGAACATGGATACAATGCCCACAGGTCAACAACAATCATCTTGTGATCATGATGTTAAAAACCAGACATTCAAGATGGTAGACGAGGAAGAGAAAAAGGTACCCAAATCCTTGATTCCTTAACATGCTGTACTAGCCCAGAACTGCCTGTCTGGGAACTTCTTGTCATGAAAGAAAAATAAATTGTTTGGGACATTAGTAAGGTTTTTAATTACTGATAGTTGGAAAACATTCCTGATACATGTGACTATCCAGATAAATTCTAAATATTCATAAAGTGAAAAACTCACTTTGTTGTATACTTTTCTAGAGATAAGAATGTGTACTGTATAAAACACTAGGAAACCAAAAATGAGAGAGAAGTGTTAGAATTAAAAATATATATATATATTCTTTTAATCCATCTAAAAGACTAATAGAATTGTCTTTTTCTCCTATGTGGGAGGCATTCTACAGTTTCCTTTTTTCTCACTGTATTCTAAATCTAAATTTGCTAGTAAATTCTCTGTGCCTAAGGTCTAACACCTGTGAATGGCATGCCAGAATATGGTTTATTTTGAATAGGTTATTAGGTTCATTTTTAGCAATCTTCCCACAAAGATTCTAACCCAGTATGTGCTATTAATATGAGAACCAGATGATTTTTTAGAATTCATATAAAGTCAACCTGTTTATTTTCCTATTTTCTCATTTTAAAGAAACTTCATCCACTTTCTTCCTAGTTCCCAATTACTCTCCTTTAACTGCTCTAATAAGTAAAGATCCAAGAAGAACCATGCTAACAAGGAAGTTCAGAATGGCTATTTTACAAAGGAATTACCTACTCTACACTCAGAAAGAATACACTCTTATTTAATTCCAAGGAAAATGAGGATTGAAAAATGGCTGTGAACCACTGAGTATCAGAGAAACAGAGCATGGAGAAATGTAACCAAAATGTCTCAACAATCACCTGCTAACATGCTAAATGTGATATATCTTCTTGTAAGAGACTTTTAAAACTGCCAATTGTGTTTCAACCATCTGGATTTTAAAATTCAACATTTGAAAAATAATGAATTTACTTGTAAGTCAAGCATCCTATTCTTCCACAAAGGTAAAGTTAAATATGAAAATCGACAGGTGAATGAAAAATATTCAGCGTCACTTTGCCATTCAAACTGGCCAAGGGACAACTACAACTGGAACTGGATTTCAGCCTAACAATTCTAACTTCAACATTATAGCATAGATTCTTTAGCCTAATGCTGTCAATGTACAGAGGAATCTACTACTCAAATTCATAATTATTTACTCCAAAAATCTAAATTAGAATAAGCAGCTAATCATAATAGAAAGTCTTTATGAAATAAAAATTAGCTTCAAGAAATAAACAGAATATATTTTAATAATTTTCTATCAAAAATCTACCCCAAAAATTCCATCTACAAGCAATCCACAAGTTTTCTGATCATCTTGCAACTCTTTTCTTTGTGATCTCATAGCCTCTAACTGCAAGTCCCTAACAAAGTTTCCACTTGAGTCTTCATAAAATGGAAGAATAAGAAAAAACAAAGTTGTCATAGATATACTATCCCTCCTTCAGCACTTACTTCTCAAAGGTAATCAGAGCCTTTCATAAAAATTGAATCATCTATCGAAAATTTTAGAGACGGATAGCCCTAAATATAAAACGATCTTCAGAACCACGAAGATGCACATATGCAGGAAGGAGATCTACCACCAGCAAAAAGGAAAAGATTTTTAGTCCGAGTTCATGAGAATTGTATTTTATGAAGTCTGTCAATACCAGCTCATGAAGAAAAATCCCTCAAAGAGAATATAACATAGCCTCCATATTCTGATTTTATATTCTCATGTCTGTAAAAGCAAATTTTATGGGGCAGTTCTATCCTGTCCTATAGGGTTGCTATGAATTGGAATTGACTTGATGGTAGTGGATTTGGGGTTGTCTGTAAAAGCATTTTTGTGTCGTCCCCTATCCCCACCCCATTAACAATTTTCATCATTTGAACTTCATTTTTAGCCACAAACCCTAAATTTACGGGACTGTAGAAATTAAGGCTTTGATTTATGATGGGTTAATTCCATTTGTTAGCAGTATCCAGGAACCAATTTAAATATAAATTAGGGGTCATCTACATATAAAGACTTCAACTAATTCTACTTAGAACAATGGGACACAAATCTGGAAAACAAGTAAGTAAATGAATATATAATACTCTCACTTTTTATCCTGTACCTTTGTAATGACAGGAATAGTGGATTCTTCCTAGTGATAAAAGGTCATGGTTCACACTAATATTAACAGTAACAGCACTGATTATTTAATACAACTTCATGAGGCCAGGACTATTATTATTCCCATTTTACAGAGAGGAAACTAAAGCATACAGAGTTTAAATAACTTGCCCAAGGTCAGAGTGACAATCCAAGGCAGTGCTAGGATTGACTCCAGACAGATTCTAAAGCCCATATAATCATATGGCCTCTATGAAATAATTAGATGTTTATATTTTATGATAACTTTTCACTTTGTAACTCTGTCCTTAAAAAAAGTTTAGGAAGTACAGTGAATGGCACACAGTAGACAGCCAAAAATTTGTTGAATGAGGAATACTATTACTGTAAAATTGCCACTATTACACATATACATATAAACAAACATGTATTTCTCCAAGAAGTCTTTAAAATCCAATCCATAAAAACCTCAGTGCTCAGATTACTCATCTTCTTTCACAACAAAAATACATTAAGATATTTATGAAGGGAGGGGAGGAAAAACTGCAAATAAAAAAAAAAGCATTGACCCATATCACTTTAGTTTTGTGTATTTCACTGTACATAAATTATATTCCAATAAAATACATTTAAAAAAAGATATTTATGAATGCCTGCGTTAGACTTATAACAATTTTTAAAAGTTTATGAAGTATTTCATACTTAGCTCTACAGAAATCTTTATAAAATTTGACATTAAAACAAGTTTGAATTTTAAACACCTCAAGACAAATACACACATATATCCAATCAGAGTACCACCCTATTTTTATCCCTCTAATTCAATGATTCTCAACTGGATGTGATTTTGGCCCCTTGAGGACATTCGGCAATGTCTGGAGACACTTATGGTGGTTACAACTGGGGATGGTTAGGGGATGCTACTGCATCTACTAGGAGCTCTGGTAGCGTAGTGCCTAACGCACTTGACTGATACCTAGAAGGCTGGCAGTTCAAACCCACCAGCCACTCCTCGGAAGGAAGGTTGGGCAATCTACTTCCACAGTGATACTGCCTCGGAAACCCGAGGGGTTGCTCACTATGAGTCACATCTGACTCGACGGCACATAACAACTGCATCTAGTACACAAGATAGCCCCAAAACAAAGACTTATCTGGCCTAAAATGTCAAGCCAACATCAATCTAGTTCCTAAATAAGATAAAGGAGATGACCCAAAAGTATAGAGCAAAGTCCTGACCTGAAGGGGCACCAACACAATGTTAAAATACCCAAACACCATTAACAGTAACAGGAACTCATCTTATACCCTCTCCCTGATCTACTTGACTAAAGATATACATCAAGGAGATGGTAAAGTTAACACTTACAATTGCTTCAGTAGCTCTCCTTTTCCTGGAAGTTTCACTTTGGAAACTAAATTATCTCAACATTTTACAAATATTCCCAAGTAAAAGAAAATGGAAGGCATTCCTAACTGATACAAAACAATAAATAATCCTCAAATAGTATTATTCTCATTAAATAACCTCCAGAGTTGTGACAAAAATGGTGATCTTTAAGCCCTTGCTTTTTGCATAAACAGAATTAAATGGTTCAAGTGAATGACAAAACATTAATATGAAAAAAAAAATCTCAAAGAATCCTTTTTTGTGTTCCTTTGTGTTTAGAGTATGTACACCTCTTTCTTCTTCCCTTCCCATTTCCCTAGCCTAGTGCTCAATATTCAGCTAAAGGCGCATTTTAAATCCAGTCCACACAGATCTCAATCTCACTCTTTTCCAACTTCCACTCTGACATGGCAATGAGATTAACACCTCTTAATGGAAAGAAAAGGAGCTCTGGTAGCATAGTGCCTAAAGCACTTGACTGCTAACCAGAAGGCTGGCGGTTCAAACCCACCAGCCACTCTTCGGAAGGAAGGTTGGGCGATCTACTTCCATAGTGATACTGCCTCGGAAACCCAAGGAGGGGTTGTTATGAGTCGGGTCTGACTCATTGGCACACAACAACAATGGAAAGCAATGTGTTTATCCTTAACTATTTCTGCATCTTCAGAATTAACCAATATATGGTCCTGTGGATAGTTCTTAAAATCTGTTTCCTGGCTGTATCTATTATATAGCAGGAATATTTAACTCTTCCCATAGAAAGAAATGAGAGGAAAAAAATGAAATAAACCACTTCACCTCCTCTTCACTTTCTTTATCTTCATCATCTGAAGACTCTTCCTGGTTTTTCTTTTCATCTTCATCACTACTAGATTCGTCTGACAGAATTTCAGGACATTTGGTTCGCTTAGCCTTCCTTGCCATTCCAGAACTGTTTCGTTCCTTTTTGCTGCCTTTGCTGGGAGTTTTTTTGGATTTTGGCAATGGCTGCATTTTAAAAAAATAAGTAAATAAAGACAATAGTGAGTAAGATTCAAATTTCCAAGCCAATCAACTTTTTAATAATTACTTTTCAACTCAATTTCTTCTCATTCCTGATTCAAAATATTGCACTCAGAAACTTAGCAGCTTTAGAGAGAATAATTCATTGCCACCTTGTCAGGTTAACCCCAAAATCTTTTTGTATTACCAATAATACCCTTTTGATTGCATTCTACACTTAAAAAAAGACTTCTCACAGACA